AGCCGCCAAACTGAAACCTAGAATACGTGATAATATTAAGAGCATATTCAGGTTAAAAACTGTATACTCCTTTTGATATTATTTTTGTAACTTATTAAATAAATTGAGTTTAACTTTTAAACCAGGTGGTAACCCTCTTTAACGTTCTTACTGTTCAAGAAAAATATTTCCTAATAATCTTTCGGTATGCTGCGATTAGGTTATACATATTTCCCCGGAGCTGCACCATCTGTTACTCAAAATCCGAAATACACACACTTCCAATACTTCCGCTATACGAAACGAAAGGAAAAAACTTGAATTTTTGACTAAGGAAAACAAACCGAATATCATTCGAGCGGTTTTCGATCATTTTCGTAATGAAAAAAACTAGCTAATTTTTTCAACTACTATTTGCCTTAAAAAGCTCAATTTGAAATGCTATATTTCAGTAAAAATGTATTGCTCATTTGACTGAAACAAATAAAGAAATAAATCTATCTATACATATCGCTCATTTACTTCAATAGTGTCACAACTGGAAAAAAATCAAATCAAATGAATACATATTTTATCTATCTAGCGAAATACTGGTAATCGATACAGCTTTGAAATTTTGACACAACATAGAAGAAGAAGTAGCGTAATTTCTGCGTATGCAGCTCTATATTTGTGTATTTTGAGTCGTGACTATATTGAAGAAAATGGGCGATATGTTGCCGCCAAACCAGATTTCCGGAGACTCTAGTTTTGCCTAGGCTAAACTAGCTCCACCTATGTACATACATGCGATAGGTATAAGCTGGGCCAAACTGGTCTGACCTAAGACCGAGAGAAGAAACCAGTTAAGCCTAAGCTGAACTAATAGATCATAGTAAGAATATTACTATGCGCTTCAAAAAATTAACCCTTATCAGTCAAAATCGGGCTCCCCAGTGCACGGTATTGCTGCTTCCAACTTATTTCCACCAAATTTGAGACACCTTCAGTAGGCTTTCCAAGGATGGTCATAGGCTAAAACTAATTTCAATAAAACGAGGGGGCGCCACAGTGCTTCCCTTCCATATAAAATGTGGGGAAAAATATAATTATGTACGGATTTAAATGAAAATTCACTTCTTAGTAAAACTGAGGACGCTAAACTCAAAAATTTAATTTGTTTTTGGATAACTTTCATGCTTTCACTGTAAATGCAGTTTGAAGTTGAAAATTTGGGTGCTTGTGGCTTTTACGTATGTATGTAGGTACATATAGTTCGTTCTATTTTAAAAAGTGATGTGTCAAATGACAGGGCTTGGCCTGTAGATGTGCAATAAAGTTTTTTATTTTTAAAAAGGGTTGCCCCCTGTTACAAATTTCATTAAAATTATTTAATAAGATAAATAAATTAGGTATTACAATATGGGTATCAATTGAACTAGCTTTGAAAATACTTTACTTCTAAACGACACGTAGAAGGGTTGCCACATGTTTAAAAAATTCAAATTCACATTAATTAAGGGAGTAGGTAACTGAAAAACGTATACCAATATGAGTATCAGACAAATGAAAAACTTTGACATATTTGGCAAGAAATAAGTGAAGATTAAAAACATGCCTGAGTTAATTTAAGAGTACAGTAATTTAAAAGGAATGTCATCAGAACAAATCACTGATTGACAACGTATGTATTTGTAATAAAATAACAAATACGATGGCGTAATTCTATGCTTTGACGTAATTATTATTTCAGTTTAACTAAATTCGACTTTACAAGCAGGTGGCAACGCTATTCGTAATATTTTTAAACTAAAACCTTCTTAAACCTCTTTCGTATGACTTTGACATGTTTTCTGTGAAGAGCTTACGCGCTTACGCGTGGCTATGCCCCTATTAAAATTCTTAGTGTAAAATTTGGCGAGTTTAGTGGCTTCCTGGCGGTATATAATTAATTTTATAGGGAAATGTCTGTTTAATTCTTTTTAGTGGATAAATTTTCTTCACTATAATACCAACAAGTTCACATTGCAGACAACGAATTTTTCGATTTTTGCCCACTTAGGCAGCACTGTGGGGCGTGGGAGATCCCATATATGAAATCAATGCGTTATTGGAAAAGAGCTCGTGGCACCGCCCATATTAACTGAAATTTTTTTGTTGTATATCTATTGAAATTTTTGTGGTAGAGTACTGGAACTTAGTATCGAGATAGTATATTAAATTACTAATACAATACTAATGAATAAAAATGAAGGTTATTAAAAGAGGGGACGTGGCACTTTTCGTACAAATTGGCCTTTTCATACTGCATATCTCTGGGGGTGTAGCAGAGTACTGGGACTTCGAATCGAGATGTATGAAATCAATTCCCATAGAAACTGAAATTTTCTTACAGCATATCTCTAGAAGTGTTTGAGGTGGAATAGTGTAACTTGGTATGGGGACCCTGTAGTCAAATGAACTAGTTGTAAACTACCCCACAACTAGTATGAATCGCATGCCCAACTAGTCAGCCAACTATCTTTTTTCCATGCAATAAACTGGTATTTTTAACATGGGGATGTCCTACGAAATGGCAATTGTCAGATTTCGGTCAGAAATATACCAGTCTCATACTATTTCAGAATAGACAGAAAAATACTAGTCTAATTATGGACCAAAACCACTACTTTGGGAGTCAAAAAATAAAATGAATTCATGAATATACAATAAAAAACATTTAAGTACACTTTTTTTATTTTACATATTTTTATTTAGCAGCCTTAGATTTGCCAATAAATATTGTTAATTTTTTTGAGTATTAAAAAAAAATACATAGATATTTCAATTTCCAATATCCAATACTCCTCATTTTCAGAATATCAACGAATTTACTAAACTCAGTAAATTCAACAGACGACTTCGCGGTAACAAATAAAGATTATTTAAAGCTTTAAAATGAATTTTGAAGGGGAGAAGTAGTGCAGCTCAAATGTGCCCAAAACCCGTGATTTTTGTACTTTTAGGTTAGAATATCCCGAAAACCTGACGTGATCTGGGGTCAGATTCGAATTCAGCACGTCAAATACCTTCGGAAAAGTATAGTCCGATTCTTGGTTAAAAACCCTTGTTGGCCTGTGTATTTAATTCAAGCAGTTATTAAATATTCTTCATTTCTGTCCATAGTTTGGCTTATTGATTGATAATAGAAATTAATCAAATAATTATATTAATCGTGTAATAAACAAAATAAAAAATAATTGAAAATGATCAAAAATAACAAAATAACAGGTCTGGTATAATTGAATACGTACTCAATTTAACGGTTTACGATATACCCAAATAAAAGTTATATTATTTTGTGTACTTTAATGTATTAAACTGTCGAAGTCAAATAATACAGGGTATGAATAAATCGTTTGTACTTGGTACAAGTCTGGTCATTTTCGAACTAGTTCGGTTTCCGTTAGGAAATTCTAGTTGTAAACTAGTATTTTTCCTGACTAGTTTGGGATTTCACTGCAGGGGATGTATAAATTCTATCCAATACACATGTAGAAATGATTACTTACTGGAAAAGAGGACGTGGGGCCTGCCATATGCATACATATTGCACGTTTATTTACATAGAGACGTAAATCAAAATTTACGTTTTTGGAAATTACATCATACAATTATAAAGCTTGAATATTTACAGCCTAACAGATGACAAAACATCCAAAAAATGGTGAAGATGTGCGTATTTTGGTATACCAACGGTATGAATTAATGAAACTTTAAAAGTCGAATTTATTGGAAAAGGTTCCGTTGTCTCACCCATGAAGGTATAATTTTAAAATCGGGAATCATGGGCATCAGTATAAACATTACTTCTACTAATATTAGCCAGTGTTCGAACGAAGAATAACTCTTATCTGCCGGTTAGCAATTGGAAATCCTAGAGTCTTGCAAAGAAAAAAATCAGTCCTTAAAAATGCCCAATAATTCTTGTCCTTTATAGGGCACCACAATGTGGACGATGACAAGGAATAAAGAACAAAGTTATATAAGGTCAAAAGGATATGCTTGCAATCGGTTACTGGAAGAACTATGCAAAGGAGGAAAATATTCATTTGAAATGAATTTACGTTGTTATTGTATTTCAAACAATATAATTATACCGAATGTTATTTAAAATTGAAAAGGGGCTGAATAAAATGCAATTGTGCCTACTTTTCCATCACTGATTCAAATAACAAAAGTTTACCGTGTAGACGAAATTTTATGATTCCATAACTTTGAAAGGCCTTAATACCTTAAGTTGCTTAAAAAATATACAACTATAATAAAGTGGGAACAGGAATAAAATACGTATATGTATGTAACATTTTTGAACGATTTTTCATGTTTGCATAGAAACGTGAAATCGCTAAATTGTATTACCAAAATGCTGCTATTGATAAACAATCGTTATTTTGATTATTTTTTTATCTGCTATTAAAGTCATAAAACAACGATTAAAAGGAGAAATTCAGTTCAATCGCTGAAATTGTGATTTTTATTAGGTATGTATGTATGTATGCATAAAACTCATAACTATTACGGTCCCTGTTCAAAACATTATATCTCCACAGTACCCTGTAATATACTTATGAGTACATACATATGTATGTATGTATATACTCAACTTTGCAATTTCCATAACGAATATTTATTTTTTATTTTTTGCTCAAATGAAATTTCATAGCTCAAACGCTAGCAGCAGACTTTTTTACCCGTACTTTTTTTAACTTCCTTCATTTCCGTTTCTTTCTTTCATTTTTGATGTTGGCGCTATAATCGAAATCGACCAAAATGACCATGCAAAAACCAAACGACAAACAAATGGATTCAACACTTTGTTAAAATGCTGCTGACCGATGCAAATGCGAATGTCTGTCTCCTGCATCTCCTGCATGCGGCGTGCGGTATGCTGTGGTGAACGGATGGACGAATGCAACTGGAAATTGAAAAATAAACATATCAAAAATGCTATACACACATACATACATACACACATCATTCATATATATGAACATATTTAGAAACGATTCCCGGCTGATAACTTTGCCGAATGGAATAATGGACATCCGTTGGGGTTGCGAACCGTACATGCATATGTTTTAGTATTCGATATGGGCAACTTGGAAACGTTTCAGGTTAGTTAGTGACTGGGGATATACATATGTATGTATGTATGTATGTTAAGGCAAATTTAATTAAAAATTGTGCATAACTTTATTTTCAATTATTTCCACAGTACTGCCGTGCGATGAGAGAGCAAATATTGGATAGTTTTAGTCATCGTGATTTTAGTATAATAGTAATTGGTAATAAATACGATACGGTCACCGAGGTGCTGGCTACTTCACAGGTCAGTAAAAGTGCAAAAATAGTTAACAGCTAAGCCGTTGTTGCAATCACAAATTGACATTCACTTTTAGGAGCTGAAGGATATTTCAACGCTAGTGCGCAAACATTGGCGCTGTGGCTATGTGGAATGTTCAGCCAAGTGAGTACAGTGTTGATCTTTTTATTAACAGCCATGTGCCATGAAAGGATAGAAGTATATTTGTGCTGAAAACTTCTGAAATCTTTGCGCGTTTTTTTTTTTTGTAATTTTGGACTCTATTTTTAATATTTAACTCCTCTTACCACCACGCTCATTTCAGATATAACTACAAAATTGGCGATGTATTCCGAGAACTAATGGGCTGTACGAGCACCGGTGCCATTGTCAGCGAATTCACACAATCAACTAGGAATAAAGGTCGTTGCACAATACTTTAGCGTTATCTGCACAAATTCTTTAGAGAGAGCATATGAGGCGCAGTAAACGTAAGAGAGCTGCAGCTGCAGGCGCTCTTAGCCAACATAAAATCGCCCACAGCAATCAAAATCTAACGAAACGCCGCCATAATTGCAAAGCAATAAAGTTCAGAAATCCACCTTTAATTCAAAATTAGCAGCTGTAAGCCCTCATCAATGCGGATTGGTAATATGTAATACATACATATATATATTTACAAGTAGATATGGGCAAGTAGGCAATAGATTTAGATAAACCTATTCGAAAAGCAGTTTTTGTAGAAGAAAAAGTCAAATAATGTGAAATTTAATAAAGAAGTGAGACCAAAAAAGCTACTCTTGATTAGTTAAAAATTGCCAAATTTGCTACTATTTACCAAACAAACCAAAAACAAAACAAATCATAATTAATTTATATTTACATTCCATCTTTTCTTAATATTCCAAAATCTCGATACTAACACCCAATCCTAAAGGCATTTTTGTTTTGAATAATTAATTATTCCCAGCGATTTGCCATCTCCTACCCAGCTTACACGAAGAGCGCAGCCCGCTTGACGGATATTTTTGTTCGCTATGCAGATCATGAAAGGCACCAGTTTCTTAAATGCCCAGATCGATCAGCTACAGAACGAAATTGAAGAGCGGATTGTATTTCTGTATTGCTCCACGATCATTCATTGCGAGAACGGCCAAAATTTTTGGATATTTAAATATTTGACATGCATTTTTGTCCACTTCAAATGGGGCATAATTTTTTGGGTCATGTACGAATTAAGCATAATTTTATGATAGTGCAAAAACAGGACATACATTTTTGATCATTTAAAAACTCTGCATAACCAAAAAGGCGTTTAAAATCACATTGGATCACGTAAAAGCTGGATATAATTTTTGATGATTTAAAAACCGAGCATACTGTTTTCTATGATTTAAACACTCAGCATAGTTTTTCGATAATGACAAAAACTTTCATACATTTTTGCACCATTTAAAGCTAGACATAGTTTTTTGGTAAGTTTAAAACTAGAAAAAAAGTTTGGACGTTTCAAAAACTGGTTTAATTTTAAAACTGAACATAATTTTTAGTCATATAAAAACGTGGCAAAGCTTTCCGGTCATTAAAAAACTTGGCATACACTTTTGATCATTTAAAAACTGGACAAAAATCGTTTAGAGTTAAAAACTTTGTACACATTTTTTGTACTTCAAAAACTGAGCATAATTTATTGAACCATATAAAACTGGATAGAAAAGAAGGCGGGTAAAAAACTAGACATAAGGATTTGAAGTTGTCAAAACTGGCTTCATTTAAAACCTGTTTTTGGTCATATAAAAAATAGACATACAATTTGGTTATTTAAAAACTGGACATTTTTTGCAGTTTAAAAACTTTAAGTAATTTTTTTTTTAAGTGAACAACATTTTTTTAACAAAACTTTGTGCCGCTTTAAAAATTGGGGTAAATGTCTGGATCATTTAAATATCTTTCAAAACTTGTTTACGCTCAGGGGGCAAGGCAAACTTTTTTTGTTTCCTTGAAAAGTGACACGGTCTAATGTATGTATTTTAGGGTGTTCCAAAAATATGTGTGGGTGGGGGGCTGAGTTTAAAGTGTTAAGCTCTCACCCCCTAAAATTTTTCTAAATGGAAAAAAATACCTGTATGTTTTCGTTTAAAAAAAAAAGTTTTCCTTGTATTTTATATGGGGAAAAACACTTTTTCGTATCTCTTTTTAACAAATAAAAAAAGAAATACGGGTATTATTCTTTTCCATTTAGAAAAATCCTAGGGTGTCAGAGCTTAATATTTTAAACCTTTTCTTTAGCACTCTAATGTACTACATACATATGTGACTTAAACAAATGACCACGTGTTGATTTTTCTTAAATATTCGTTATGTTTTTCGAGCTAAATTTTTTTGTTATTTTTCTATAAAAAAACACCGTTCAAGCTTTAGCCAAACCCATATAAACCACAGTTTCAAACTTTATTCAAAATTTAGGAAAATTCAACAAATTTTCATTAAAATTTAAACTTTTAAGGAAATTTTTGGGTATGCAGACTTATAGCCCATACAATTGTATGGGGTATAAAACTGTATACCCGAAAATGTTCTGAAGATTCAGATTAAAAAGTTTAATTTCTTGATGCAAATTTGTTGAATTTTTGTATAAAGTTTGAAACTGTCATCTATATTTTTTTAGGGTAAAGCTTGGCCCATTGTTATAGAAAATTAACACAAAAAATTTAGCTCGAAAAACATTACGGATATTAAAAAAAAAATCAACACGTGGTCATTTGTTTGAGCTACTGTATGTATAATATCTACGCTGTATCCAGTTTTGCGCAACTGCGGCTTCGAAGCGTTTTAGCACTCATCATCTTCTCTTTGATTTGTGATTCTACTTATCATTTCCTAACCACCTACACTGTGCAAAAAATTACTGGCTGAAACTGCTTAATTATTAATTTAATATCATTCTGCATTACGAAAAACTGTATCCCACCATATTTTACAATAAATACATATTTTCAATAATGTTGTAGAAAATATTTACATAATCTGTTCAAAGAAATGTGAGCCCATGTAATGTAGATAAATTACAATAATTATATACTGTTCATGAAAAGTGATTATATGGGCAATTCTCAATTAGTTCGAATTTTCGCATGACTCGCCAGTTTTTATTCGGACACATAATTTTCGCTGATATGTTAACAAAAATCAGGTTACGTATGTTGTGTAGTCAAAAAAAAAACAAAACGGGAAAAAAACGTTTAAAACGTATGGTTACGGTGACCATTCGTACCGATTTTGGCGGGACAGTACCGATTTTGAGAAAATTGTCCCGCGGAATATTTTTTAAAAGTCGGGACTTACAAGCGTCCCGATTTTTCATATTTGTACCGATTGAGTCCTGATTTATACAGTTTTCTTTATTCATTTATTAAGACTCTTCGTGTACTCTGGTCCAAAAACAATTTTTCATACAAGCGAGACAGCACTTTCGTTATCACAAAAGACTTAGAATATAAGAGAGCCACTATGCCCATTAATAATATAATAATATAATTAATGAAATTATAAAAACTAATAATCAAAAAAACGTGGATATGAAAACATAAGCGGTAGAGAGAGTGGCAAAAATAGAAATAAGGAAGAGACATGTTAGCTTTCTTTGGCTATTTCCCTAAGCAATTGCTTTTACTTAAAATGTCATACCTTTCACTTAAATTTATTTGAACAAATCGAGTAAAAGGTCTGAAATTTTAAGAAAAAAAATTTGCTTGGGTTTTACGCATATGGCACAATGTGCAAAGAAAAAAATTTCCAAAAATCAACGGTAAATCCAAGTTTCTTCCAACTTGCCCTTTATTATACAATAATTTAATGGCTCCAAAACTGCATACTCAAAACAGTTCTAGGAAATCTAATTAAAATGTTTCAAATTGTGATGCAAATTTTGAAATTTTGCTTTACATACTTTTTTTTATAAAGTAAGTTATTCTTTCATAAAAAAATATAAAATATTTTGCATTTTTTTTTTGTCTTTGTTTTGTTTCAAATAAAACTGTAGTATGCATTTTTATTCTAGAAACAAAATTTTATTTTCGGATTCGATGCTTTAGAAATGTCAAAAATGAAAATTCGAAGTTTCTGAGAATTGCCCATATGGAGTAAGTTTTATTATTAAATAAGTCTGTACATATTTGTGTATGTACGAGCACGTACGGCAGCTTAATATAAAATCGATTATAGCGCAAAACCAAATACCAAATACTTGGATACTTTTAGGCAAATAATAAATGCCAATAACTACTTTTAAGCAAACATTAAATACTTTAAAGTTGTGATCATTGCAAGAATTAGAATTAGTGAAAAAATTGAAGCAGACACAAAAAAAAATATGCATTGCATTGTTGGAAAAATTACGTTTAATAAGTAATAATTGTGTGTGTATTTATATATATATATATATATATATATATATATATATGTATAAGTACCTAATAATAAAATTAATAATCGTATGCATACCTTATAGACAAACACATACAAATTCCACTCACACTTACAAGTACATACATACATATGTATATACTTACATATTTATGCATAACCGAACACTGCATTGAACCCAACAATGGCAATTAGTCGTATCGTAAGTTTTTGCAAGAAAATATTTGGGAAAACAGCAATTTAGTGAAGTAAAATCAACGCACAAATTATGTGTTATTATTGTTAAAATTTTTAGTGGCCAAATATTGCAACACAAGTAACAAAAATAAACAAACAAAAAAAGTATACCTAAGCAAATAGAGGTTGAAAACTTCAGATAGTTTAAATTTAGAAAAACGATAGTTGTTAGCAAACTAAATAAATTTTATGTAAGTACAAAAATGCATACATGGTGCATTTTCTGTTATACCCCCAAAATAAAATGAATGATAATAATAATGCCTCGAAAACGCATTATACAGTCATTATAATGAAAAATAAGATGGAAAACGCAAAAAAAAATTTAACTCTAAAATTTTTCGAAAAAAATTTCCAACTTTAAAATTTTCTGTAAAAAAAATTTCATCCGAAAAATAACAGCGGGTTTATACAAAATCATGATCACAGTATTTTTGCGCAGAACATCTTTCAGCGTTAGTGGCCTCACCTGGACCGCCAACTCCGATTACGCGGCCCGCAGTGCGGTATAACAGAAAAGAACCCATACATGTACTTATATTAACCAAACCAAAACAATAATAAATTTAGGTTTTAAATGTAGTCATAACGTATTTTTTTCACTGTACAAAGCACAACAACATCAAGAACAACCATAACACAACCCTCATTAAAGTTGTCGATAAGCAGTTGCAAATTTAATAAAAAAAACATTTTTTGACCCAATGAAATGGTTGATTTTACGCCCAAAAAACACAGTTGCAGATATTTATTTTATACATAAATATATAAGCAAGTTAATAAATGTAAACACATTAAGGCTGAATTTGTATATACATACAAACATACATATGTATATACATATACACTTAAAAAATGAAAGGTATTAGATATACAATAAGTAAAAGCATAATAGTAAATAAACGTAATTTATTTAGAAAAATAAGTTAAATTTTGAAGTATTGCAAGTAGTGGCGAAAATGTGTTAACCCATTTGTACCACTTTACTATGAGCGTATTTAACATTTAGGTGCAAAAAAGTATGTTTTTCTAAAGGAGTAGAAAACAGTAATGCGCAAAGTAGGCAGGAAGTAGATTACCCTATGTATTGTAATGCTTGAAAGCTTAAACCTTAAACGGTCTATATAATCCGCTTTTGCTGTTTAATTTTGTTTTATTTTTGTTATTTTTTACTTATATAAATGGATTAAACGTTTTAGTAACCCTCAAAATAAGCAGTGCAAGCTACGACTGCGCAACCCCTGGGTTCAAGCCCTGGTCAAAGCAACCTCGTAAAAAAAAAGNAGCTACGACTGCGCAACCCCTGGGTTCAAGCCCTGGTCAAAGCAACCTCGCAAAAAAAAAATATAGAAAAAAGGTTTTTTCTTAACAGCGGTCGTCCCTCGGTAGGCAATGGCAAACCTCCGAGTGTATTTCTGCCATGAAAAACAGTTTCTCATAAAAATACAATCGCCGTTCGGAGTCGGCGTAAAACTGTAGGTCCCTCTCCTTTGTGTGACAACCGCAAAGGCGCACGCCACAAATCGGAGGAGAAGCTCGGCCAAACACTAACAAATGTGTAAGCGCCAATCTATTATTATTATTATTAACCCTCAAAAATAATGCTTATGCCAAACATAGAGAATTCAAAACATCCTGGGCCACTGAATTTTCAAAACCGTTATGCACTACTATTCAGACACTCCATTTAATCAAGAAAGTACTTTGTTCGTGGTTGT